ACACACACACACACACACACACACACACACACACACACACACACACAGTAGTAACCACATCAACTGTGTTTGACAGCATGAGGCAGAACACACAGAATCCAAATGCAAAATACATTTTGTGGACATTCACTAAAACCAAGAATAATCAATAGGTGTGTAAAGAGGGCACTTATTTAGAAAGGTTCAAGAAGGGGCATCTGCCTGGTGGAGCAGTCGGAAAACTAATTCTATACTGAAAAATGGACAGATGAGTCAGATGAGGATGCTTACTTCATAATCATGGTAATAAGGGCTTAATAATGGTCTAATGGGGGTGAGTAAAGGGAGCAGTGGGGGAGGGTGGAGAATGGGGCATTGGCGGGTAGACAGATGGACGTTATGGACATTGCCAACACTCAAAAGCAACAGTGAAGAGTAAAAGACGTCTGTTCAAATATGATGCTGGATGGTTTAATGAATAATAATAACGCTTCATATTTTAATGGTTGTATTTTGTGAGAAATATCTTGGATCTTGTTCTCTAGAGCGTTTAATCTCCACATCTTAACATCGTGTGGAGCCTTTTGTTTCTAAACAGTCAAGCCGAGTAGAATGACCATATTAGGAGGGCAGTGTGCTTCCACGTCACGCGCGACAATCTTACTGTCTTCCCAAGATGCTCGTGCGCGTTTATAGAACTTTGTGACGGATTGTTCCAATGAATGGTTAAAAGATCCCTATGGAATCTCGGACTCATTCAGTGTCCCGGCTGAAACCCGGCCGTGCGGATACAGGATTAGTAAAAGTGGGCTGACTTTAAATATATAATATTCTAAATTTATGTATTTATTCTTTACTTTTGTTAAAATCCATTAAATCAGTAGTAGCTGGCCGCATTGTCCACCCTGAGGCAGGCAGAGACTTTACTGGGCCCCATCACGTGCTTGTACAAAGACCAGGATATAGACGTTTTTCATAATATAAGACTTAAGGGACTGTATGGAAGTTTTTAGGGGTCAGAAAAGGGCAAGGGTATCGTCTGTTATCTTTCTCTTGGCTTAAATGGAAGTTTGATTATTTTTCTTTGGTTGAGCAGTGGAGCGTCTTCTATTTGTTTCTTAAATTAAAACTGTATTGTCAGTCTTACTGAGCAATATAGTTAACAGTTGCATAAATAGTTATATCAAAAACAACTTTAACTTGCACCGTGATTCATAAAGGTTCAAGGTGTGTTTTAGTTATATTGACATTAGTAGTTCTATTAAGATATTAAGGTTTAAATTGGGCATACAAAATAACACTGCTATATTCTTTTGACATGTTGTCGCACACATATGGTACAGTCCCTAAAATGTCTCTGTTTTGAGCTTCTATAGAACCGTTGAATATAATTGGTAGGTCCATGAGCACTGCCTGACACTCGGTATGATACTTTTTGTATGTGTCGTGAGCTTTATTAGCTTCTTCATTACGCCTCACTTCTGTGCAGTTTGTTCAAAGCATCTGAGAGGCTTGTTCCCATGGCCTGAATCAGAGCCGTCATGTTACACTCTGACACTCTAATCCGATGCCAATGAGAGAAGTAAGTGTTACATGTTCGTCCCCGCCCCCAATCACAGCCACAACAAGGTGTTTGAACCTTCTCCAGAGCCCATTGCAATAATTGTGCTCACAGTTCACAATCTGTGTTATGTACGACGTTCCCTTTCAACAGACACTTTAACAAAAGACATCTTTTAACATGCTCTTGTATTGTTTGTAGGTTTGTCATATCATAAATCTTAAAGGTCCCATAATGTAAACAGTGAGATTTTTACGTCTTCTTTCATTTATTTATTATAAAGCAGGTCTAAGTGCTACATAAATACTGTGAAAGTATCAAAACGCTCAATCCATGGAGGAATAAACACCGCTGGTTTTCAGAAAACTGTGCCTTCAAACGAGCTGTGAGGTTTTCCTTTCAATATCAATATCTATATTTTTAAACGTAAACTCTGGAAATGTGTCGCAGTCTATTTACTTTTGCAGTGACATCAGCTGACAGGAAGTAAACATGGACCCAAGCTGTTTCCAAGCAACCCAACTCCGTTGAAATGGGCTAAAACGGAACGTTTGAGACAGAAGGCAAAGACAGGTGTATTCAGACAGGCAGTTTTTTTAACATTAAAGAACGTAAAAATGTATGAACCTGGAAATCAGCATCAGATGTCCCCTTTAAAGTTTGATATCATTGAAACATTTTCAATTTACAGCAACCCTCAATGATGATAATCCTCAAACCCAAATTCCTTTAACAAGAAATCAGAAACACACTCATTGGCAAAGCCCCAACAAGGTGTGAAATAAATAAGTAGTGTACACCTCATAACAAGTAATCGTCAGCACTGCATTGTGTAATTTACACAGCAATAAAAAACACCAAAATGTCATTCTTAGAACAAAATCTCTTTTTACCTTTTTTTTACCCTCATTAATATTTTTATTTATTTATTTATTATTTAATTTTAACACTCTCTCTCACACTAACGGACATACGGACACACCACCACAGGTTCGACTAACACCAATATAACATTATAGGTAATTAGTATTCCTCCCATAGAAATGTCTCATGTCATGTTGGCTGTTGTCATATTGCACCAACAAAACAAAAAAAAGGTCACAGAAGGGAACCAGGAGTCGAGTTCTTTACCACATGTTATACAATATGTATTAATGGTGTTGAATTGGTTGACATTTCTAAATAAAGTCTAATTTATTTTCATGTTAAATCGACTAAAGACAGAATCGGCCACAATACTCCTTCAGGTGGAGGAGGAGGGAATGAATGTCAACGCTCAACCAGGAGGTCGACACCAAGTCCTTTAGCCTGCTACAGGAAACAAATGGTCTTATTGCATGATGGATTTTTATTGCATTGCCCCATTCTGCATCCGGGTCAGCTGTCTGTTTGAATCTATCAATCTGCTGTCAGTTATTCAACACATGTACTGCCTCATAAAAAGACAGTTATTATGGCAGCAGTTTCTGTGTGTGTCACATCCCATGAATATGTGTGGGATGAGATAACTCCTGAGGGAGGACGTGAGCAGTTGCGAGCCGCAGGAATCCAACTGCATGCAGATGATTGAAGCTGGTTTTACTGTCAGATATGTGAAATGAGTGTGGGACACGTACATGTGGAGTTACAGTTCAAATATCTCACCTGTGCTGTGAATTTAGCAGTGAGAGAATAACATCCAATCCAATGCTCACCAATCTGTCTTATTTATAGTCCACATGAAGGGACTTCATGTTCCCACTAATTAACTCCATTATAGCACTGGATATAGGCTATATATAAAGCATAATACCATCAGGCTGCCCTCTTACACACAGACTCATTTGTCTTTTGTCACTTTGGAGGACATTCCTCTCTGGAGACATTCTCTAACCTTAATCATGACTAATCTTAATTGAAGTCTTAAAACTGAACGGTTGTTGTTGTGGGGACCCTATTGTGTGCTTGGATACCCATTTAAGCTTGCTTTAAGCTCGCTTTGAAAACAAGTGTTGTCTGACAGTTTCAGAAGAGGAAGCAAAACGTCAGAAGAGAAAACTGGTAGACTTCAGAATTTCAAAGAGACGTTTATCCATCAGCAGGAATGCGCGTAAAAATGGATTATGGAAAGTATAATTTTGAGTTTTTTGATCCTGTTTGCAAGAACTGAAATCAAGTATAATTATTTCTCCCTCACACATAACTGAGCTAACTATGGCAGCTATTGTTTTAGTTTACTCAAGCTTACGCGCGGCTTTTAACTCACCTACAAACAGCAGATAACAACCTGCGCCGATGTCCACCGCTGGTGATAACGTGGAGGTGTAGATATCCATGAGGACTCTGATCAGTAACAGAGAATATTAATAATAATAATAATAATAATAATAATAATAATAATAATAATAGCAGAGAATAAATGATCCGTCTTCATGGAATGAAGAAAAAGTCAAAATGTGCCGCTGTTGATGCGCCCCGGCGTCAAATCCATCTGTCCTCAAGTAGCCTATGGGTGCAGATACGCGAGAAGTCCTCCGGCCGCAGCGCTGCGCACTGGCGTCCTCTGAACCAGCTGAATGGATTGAATAAGGTGCGTAGAGAGGGGGCTTCACGTTCTGAAGGGCAGAGCAACCATCAAGTCTCCACTGTGAGGCTGCGCGTTGGACTTACTAGCTCCTCAAAGTGAGGGAAAAAGTGGAGTCTCTAAATTAGTGTTACATTACCAATTTATCATTCTTAATATTTAAAACATTTTTTAAAAAGAACATGAAAAGGCAGCCATTCGGGCGTGCAACCACCTCAAATGTAAACCAGTCAGCAACGTGCTGCTGTGAAAAGTGAAGCCAATTCCTTTTTTAACCGGCTAAAATTGCTTTACTCAGCATTTGGTTGTACTTAGCTCCACCCTCCTATGTCACTTCTGGTTGCAGAAAAACAATTGTTCTCCACAAACCATGTTACCACACAGTCTTTTTGAAGTTTGCCTTCAGGGCTTTCTGCCAGAAAGAGTTTATTTGAACCCAAATCATGGTATTTTATATAAGTTGTTGCCTAAACCTCATGAGATGTCTTGCAGAAAGGAACGGCGGGAGAGGATAACAAACACAGGACTTTCACTCAAGATGGCCGCTGTTAGTGTCCCGTGTGAAACTGTAAGTAAATGTTGATGTTCGCCGTAAGTTAGTCGCTAGTCGGTGAACTTAACGTCAACCACGCTCTTTTACCTACACTTACCTGCCTAAATCTTACTTCCTGTAATTTGAAAGAACACTAGCTGCTCGGGTGAGAATGCTGGCTCAGTGTGAAATGACTAATTTCTATTTTCCTATAGATTCCTTAGATTTCAAGTGTGATTTTTAGTCAGTTTGTGGGCGTGCATAGAGACCGTAGCATTGTTCTCAGTATTTCTTTTTCGGTGGATGCTTACTTTCTACAAACAAAACTATGCACTTTCAGGTCAATTTTCAGTATTTGCAGGATAATTATATTCTAATATGATTAGACCAATAAAAATAATACATAAATTGTCCTACAGAATTGTATTCCAGTGTGGAGGCAGTTAGCTGAATGAATTCAAATGGAATGAAAACTAACTTTGGGGGGGGTCATTATGGGACTTCAGTATATCTAAAATCCTGGCGACAGCCATGTTTGTTGCCTGTAATTTTCAATAGGATCGGCTTCCCAGCATTCAGTTATGCAAGACAAGATGAACGCGCAGAAGGAAACCTTTTTCTTGATCTGTTTATTTCAGGCGCTTTGACAACGTATGTCCGAGTCACTGCACTATGAAGCAGCCCCTCACAGCTCTAATTTACAGCTCTCACTGTATACTTTTATCTCAATTAATTACATCTGGGACTTCAGTAAGCTTTGCATCAACATGAGCCACAGTTATGGAACTCATTTATAATGACGGGTTTCTCTTATTGGAAATCCACAGCCTGTTGAGTGACATAATCATTGAAAGGGAAGTAACAAAGATGTTTTTCTCTGACAAATGTCAGGAAAAAAGGGCCTTATCTTGGAGATTGATGTAGTTTTTCCATAAAATCCATTGTGGAGACCCTCATTGTTCAGACAGTCTCGGGGCGCAGATGTAACATTTTACAGCCTCGTCAGATTGGGTGAGAGTGAAAAGGGGACAGCGTGACGAGTCTGTCAAAGATGAAACGGTACATGGCATGTTTTTTGGAGGTGAGAGGTGTTGATTGGAGTGTTGATTGTCGGACGAAAAGGATGATACAGCCGGAGGGGAAGGTGTCGACAGTATGTTAATGCTTTAATTGAAGAGCCTGTCCGGGCAACACCGAGAGCCTAAACATAAGCCTGCGGCATTGAAGGGGCCCTGCAGAGCTGTCACTGTAGTCCACAGTGTCACGGGGTGTGGTGAGGACTCAAATGCAGGACCAGAGGTAGTGAGAAACAGGTTTTAATGAGTATTGAACAAAAATAGGAATCGTTACCAGAACACAACAGGGAGTCCAAGCACAAGACAAGAAATGAGGGGGAAAATCCGGCAGGACGAGCGAGGGCAGAGCGAGGGCAGAGCAAGGGCAGAGCAAGGGCAGGGCAAGGGCAGGGCAAGGGCAGGGCAAGGGCAGGGGGGCAGCAATGATCTGGCAGTGAGTAACTGAGAGTGCATGGGTTTATATAGTGGCTGGATAGAGGCAGGTGAGGAGAGTTGTGCTGATGAGGAGGGAGTGCTTGATTAGTGAACAGAGGCAGGTGAAGGGAGTTAGGCTGATGAGGGAGGCAGACAGGTGCACTGAATGAGTTGATAGGTGAGTGAGGTGAGTGAGAAATAAAAAGACAGGAGAGAAGAGGCAGAGCCGTGACACACAGAGACACAAAGTGTTTATCCCCGAGACCTGTGTGGACATTATTGTTGTTCTCTGAATAGGTTGTAACTTCCATCGTTTACGTTGTTGCAGTCTCCTTCCTCTCCTTTCTAATCGGGTCATTGAAACCCAATGACCCGAGAAGAGAAAATGGGCCCTCTAGGTTATTTTAATAAGCATACTGCGCTATTCAAAGCATACAGTGTCCTCCACTGTCCTGACTGCTGTTTCAAAGAAATTAAAGCTTCTCTCATGAATAATTATTGTACTCCCAATGAATGAAATGAGGTTTATTGTGAAGAGAGTACTTCAGATATGGTGGCATTGTAATCCCAGGATGATGTTGTAACACACACAAAGGTACAATTCTTACAATGAAACTAGAGGAGGGATATTATGTGCTTTTATGCAAGGTGAGGGCTTCATATTCATATTCATTTTGTGCTAATCTTATATGTAAACTATAAGGGACATTAATCATTTTCATGCCTTTGGCGTATCATATCTAAATGTCCTATCTATCAGAATAAAAACCTGATTCAGACCCCAGAATAATAATACTTTCATAAGGAGTAGCATGCTTTTCTTCCATTTGTGACATCATACGAAGTGACAATGAAGTGTTATCACATACAATCTGATTATGATTTAATATCTCTGTTGGTGAAATACACCCAAAGGCAGAGTTCAAATAGACCCGCACACCACGCAGCTCGCTTCAGAAGGATGTAATGCGGTGTCACGTTTTCAGCGCCAGGCTCTTCGTCTTCCTCCTCTCTTGACATGTCATTAGCACATGAGGACTCAAGAATATATTTCTCCTCTAGTTCTCCAGCTAATGATGAACCTGGTAGAAGCTTTAACATGCTGACGATCCTTGTGTTGTATGGAAAAGTGAAGAATCTGAATTTAAGAGTTGCTGGATTTACTAGGCCACGGGTCATTTTACTTGCACAATCCTTATTGTTGAGTCCTGTATTAATGTCAACGGCAGAGCAATTTACATTTTTCTCAGAAATAACAGACGGTTGAGGAGGGTTTGAGATTTGATGACCATGATTTTCAAGAAGAACACAGTTGTATCAGCCCTGCCCCTGAGAATTCTAGAAGTCCTGTTCAAGCCAACTTTGCAGCATCACACACAACACATTTCACATCTCTCTGAATGCAACCGTGCAATTTGCCTATCAGGGCAAGGTGGCGGATGCTCACCTTATCTAACCACCTTTAATGCAAGGAAAAGGTCAAGCTCGCCTCCTATTTGTCGATCTTTTCCTCTACAAGCCCAAATCTGGGCAGAGTAGCTTATATACCATTTCACCTTTGCCCTCTCTTTGATGGCATATATATCGGATATTATGACAAACAGACCCCGTAGAGTGTTATAAGGAGGCCTGTCCACATGGGAAGGTACCCGTGCTGATAATAGCACAGCATGCAGTGTTTTTAAGTCACAGCCGGCGTGCTTCCAGCTCTGGTGTAATTAATTTACGACTTTTTTATTTGCAGTAGTTACGGATAAACCTTGGGTCAAGTGCGTAATACCTATTTTTATTTTAGATTATGTGTTTGTCTACATCACTTCCCTTTTTGCTTCAATCAGAAAACTCCTTTAGATTAAATACATGTATGCATTCAGTATGTACTGAGCTGAAAATATAAACAAATATACAAACAAAAACAACTATTTAAATCCACCTTATTATAACCAATAAATACCAAGTCGGTGGACACAAGCTGTGGAAAACAGAATACAAAAGGAAAGTATTTATTTATATGTACTCACAGACACAAGTAAGCACAAGTGCATTTTCATGACATGTTTGTTCAGGTCATTCAGTTAATTCTATAATACAGCATTTTTAGTATTTGAATTTGTTTGCTCTCCATTCTGCTACATGACTCAAGATAAATATACCACTCAAGCATCCTTTCTCTGAGCTCTATAATTACACTCTTTGTGTAGAAATAAAATAAACAAATAATGCTGCAAGATGTTCTTCTTTCTGAAGCTCAAATTAGCATAATCTGTCGGAAAAAACGCAAAACTGTTTTGTATAACAGGCCCTTGTGCGTGCGCATCGCACACCATAATTAAAGCATTTGACCACGCATGCTGGGGTGAAAGGACCCAGCGGAGGAGCACTGAGGAGGATGCTTTCATCACAAAGTTCATCAAAGACAGAACACATAGCTGATGGGAGGCCAAGGGAATGGCACACTCACAAATAATTATATTTTAGCATCTCTCATGCAGGTCTCACTCCGCTTTCTGGAAATCAAATCCACATTATGTTTGTTCCCCCTGTGGCGACCTTCTATCTTGAACTTAAAAAAACGATAGAGTTTGTATCAATTTCATCCACCCCATTTCAACGAGAGGATTGATGCCACCCTCATGTCCGTGCATTGAACATGTAGCTAGAGCCAGCAGCCGCTTAGCTTAGCTTAGCGCCAAGACCCATTTGAGTCATTTTCAGACGCTGCCACGTGATGCTACACCACTGCAGGACAACGCGTCGGTATTTGGTGCCCAGGAATGAGCGCGGGCTTCAGTCACATGATGTTACGTCCATAGCTTAATGCAACTTATACTTATTTTAGGCCAAATCGTGATGTTTTTTTTAAACAAGAGGTTTTGCTGCCTAAACATTGTTAACCACACGCAAACCCTTCTGCATCAAGATACAACGGACTTCTGCTCAAACATGCAAAATATGACGAGTCGGGATGAGATCACGTTGTAATGATCTAATTAGTGAGCGTCAAGGGTGCTAGCAGGTGGATTTTTGTTACGTTTGGATTGAACAAGCCTGCTGTTTCAAGTCTTTCGCCTGAGCTAAGCTAACCGGCTGTTTGCTCTATAGATACAGACATGAGAGTGGAATTGATCCTCTCATCTAGCGCTTGGCAAGGGAATTTTCCAAAAGGCCAATCCTTCAATGACAGCCTAAGAAAAGCGGCCAAATAAAAATGTAGACTTCATCACATGTATTAGTCCAAAGGTGTCATCTGACTCACAGACTGTAAGCCTGGAGCTCCCATTCGACCCACACAGGTTCCATCAGTCCCATTCTCCAAAACGGTGCAATCAGAACCTTTTACCATTTCGCCTTTGAGCTTCCCTCCTTCGGCAGGTGAACTGGCCCGATGCGAACAACAAAACATCTGTCTCTGGAGGCGGAGGAGCTCCTGCCAGGAGGTGCGCTGGAAGATGAAGTATATGAAAGGGTTGTATACGGTGGAGCTCTTGGCGAAGAGGCACGGTAACAGGGTGACGAACGGAGCGATGTGGTTCTGCTCCTGGGAGTGAAACATGCTCCAGAAGCTGACGGCCACGTAGGGGGTCCAAGCTAAAAGGAAACCTGAACTGATCATCACAGCCATCTGGAGCAAGGAGAGCAAATGAAAAGGGCACGAGAGGTTCAGTAAAGCAGACCAGAGGAAACAGGAAACAGCAAGACATCTATCTATCTATCTATCTATCCATCCATCCATCCATCCATCTATCTATCTAATTAGATATCTTTGTGTTACCATAGCTATGAGGCCAAGATAAAACAGCAGGCCATCGTTCTCAGGTAAGTGAAATCGATGAGGTCAGGCGAGATGAGCTACAGCTTATCTGTTCGGCCGTGAGGGATTTGACTTTCTGTCATTATATGTAAGGAATTAAGGGGACATGATTCATGATGAACAGGAAGGGGCCAGCAGTCGTCTCCAAAGAGCAATTTCCACCTCACGATTTTCCATTGCAGTTTATATAAGAATAATAAATTCCTCCTCTGAATATTCCACCTCATTAATACTCTCATCTTCTCATCAAATAAGGAATTCACATGTGAATATGGATGCCAAGCACGACAAATAATCAGGACAGCATAACTCCCTCTGCACGTATACGATTCAGTGATTCCATATGATATATGCGGTATATGCTGAGCAGGGTGATGCAATGGTAAATTCATGGAACACGTCATAGATGGAAAGTGGTTTGGAGAGAAAGAGTGACAGAGCCTCGCGAGTAGCTAAAAGGCATTCATTTAATTTATTCAAGTGTCCTTCGTTTCTATAAGTGAAGATGCAGACTTTCAGACAATCAAGACGGATGTATCGACGTCTCATAATGGAAACGGTTGAATCCAGCTCTCGCGGATATATAATTAATCAATTGGAACCTATTTGGTGAAAGAAAAATGCATTTCTGTGGGAGAACAAAGTGAACGTTACAGGTACCGACATGCATTCAAACACACGCACACACACAAGCACACACGCACACACGCACACACACACACACAGACACACAGTAAATAGTCACATCCACAGGGCATACACTCCAACACAAACAAATCTGTTGTGTTCACAGGAACCCAGATGTGTAGAAAGCGATGACCAGCGGCCGACCCTGTGCGCTCTGTCAAGCACAATCGGCAGATCAGCGAGACACTTTCCCCTCGGATCTTTGTCAAGACCTCCTCATTTTGCTGCAGTCACGTTGACATGCAGCCTGACCCAAGTTTAACAACAGATAGATATGCTACTGACCTTTGACTTCATTTTCTAATCTGCTGCAAAGACACTCGTGAGCAAAATCAATTCAATGCACGCGCTTTGACACACATTAATGAATATGCACACATCAAATGCAAATGCACAAGGGGCCCATACCGTCTGTATGCTTAGATAAGGCACATCATTAGAGCTTACAGATATAATGAGGCACTCAGCATTCCTCAGAACACTTTGTGCTGAAGTGGAGTGCCATTTCAAGGAAGTGATAAAATTGGGATTTCTGCAATTCTTACAAGAGGCATTACTCTTTATCTAATGTCCCTCATTCTTAAAATATAACGGGAGGTTTTTAGCAGCACTGTGTTTGTATTTAATAGAGGTGAAATCCCTGACCCTACAACTACTGTCTACCACTTGGCAAAGGTGCCCTGTGTGCTCATATGGCGGTTACAGCTGAGAACGCCTTCCTGACCGACAGTGTCATCGCACAGGTGTAGCGCCCACCCTCTGCACACTGTTAGCACCGTTAGCTGCTAGCCGCCAGCTCAGCCTTCGCTATGTAAAAAGCCGCGTGGAGGCAATCCCTCAATCATAGATGTGCTCAGAATGTTGCACCTTTAAGGGTGTGGAAGGCATGAGGGAATTAAAGGATAAATCTGGTGATATTCTATATTTCCCTTATTGCCAAAAAAATCCCATTAAAAGACCAAAACAAACACTCTATCTTTCTATCAAATATTGTAGCCAAATCTCGATGTAACTTATATATTTATATTTACATAAATGTGCTGGAAGCAGGGGAAATGGTCCAAAGTAAAGAGGAAAACCTAAAATTTACAATTAGCCCTTGTTTGTTTATTCACATAAACAGAAAAGTAACAATGACAATTTGCAGTTTGGGAGGAGTTTCTTAAAAGCCGGTGACTTCCTGGAGTCTTCACTGGCAACCTAACAGTGATGACGAGACTAGGAGGTTTAACATGTTCATCAAAATTCTGATTTATTGGTAATCTTTTTTGAATTGGACGGAGCCAGGCTAGCCGTTTGCCCCTACTCTATATATTATGTAGCTTATATATATTTAGCATGGAGGCACGAGAGTGGTGTCAATCTTCTCATCTAAATCTTGGCAAGAATGTGAATAATTCACTAAAATGTCAAACTGATTAGAGGCTTACGTCCTCGGTGGGATTGAATGAGCTTGGGGCAGAGTGCTAAAGACATGGTAGGGAAGTCAGAAAGTATTGAGGGATGGACTAACACAACGCAGCTGAGGGGTTGTTCAACCTGCCAGCGGTTCAGTGGTGTGTGGTTGAGCTGAGCTGATGCAGCCGGAAATTCTAAAATAAAGCTGGCTGCATCCTTTGAGCAGCCGTTCCCAGGGGCCTTCACATGCCAAGCTATACTTTATTCTATTTCGTCTTAGTTGTGTGTTGGTGATTATTAACTGTGCATTAACTCAATCGACTCAATGTTGACACAATAATCCTGCTTAATGAAATCGCCTTTATGTCCACGTTATTCAAGTAGATCCGTACGCCTGTCAAATACTGCTTTGCCCAGATAAAGCCTGAACATCGCTCTAGTCATAGTGTGATGTGATGTCTATAAATATTCAGCTTTATATAAATATTCAAAAGAACATTATACAGACAGATCTACAGAAATGTCTTCCATATATATATAGTATACATATATATATATATATATGTATGTGTGTATATATATATGTAGTATATAGGTATTATATCTCTTTTACTGCTTGCTTCTGTAAAGCAGGTTGTGCTGATTTAAAAAACGCTACATTATTTGTTGCTAAGAGTGAATATGAATATGAATATACATTTTTGCAACTCACACATCCATTGTCTTTAATTACAGTTCAGTACAAAGGCCTTTTAGTCATTATCCGCATTTCACAAATGATGTTTCAATCAGGGAAAGCAAACTGAAGGTCAATATGTTATTGATTGTCTCATACTTACAAGAGTGATTTTCTTCTCCACATTGCCGCATTGAAAGTCGTTGCTCCGGATGGATTGGTAGGCCCTGTGCAGCTTCCACGCAATGCCAAAATAGGTGAAGAGGATGACAAGACAGGGGAGGAATGTGCAGAGCACAGACAGAGTCATGATGAAAGTGGAGTGGTTCAGGGACTTCCCATAGCTGTTCCAGTCTATCGAGCAGGCAAGTCCAAACGGCTCTGGCCCATAGCTGCCCCAGCCCAGCAGAGGAAACAAGGCCCACAGGCTGGCATACAGCCAGATCGCACTGATCACAATACTGATGGTTTTCCTCTGAAACTTGATACCTGTGCACAAACGAATTTTAGATTCAGCAGGGTCAATTTTATGGCACTGTTGTATTTGTATGCGGTATATTTTGGACTATGCTGTATGGTGTTTGCACCATAAAGCCGCTAGGCAGCAATTGTTTGTGTCACACACTCGGTGGGGCAGCATGTAATGAAGAGTCTGATGCAGGCTGAAGGGGGGTATTCAGTTAGATGCAATCTGTAACCTCACCACTAGATGGCACTAAATCCCACACACTTGTCCTTTAAATCGTGTATGCAAGATCATCCAATACGGGCGTAATTCTGATGGATTCTGGGCTGCGTCATAATGGCCACGCTGCAGATCTGCATGAATGTGACTGGGAGTAAGCGGTCGGCTGGTAGCCAAGCAGCTCATTACTGACATAGTGATTGTGAAGCGTGAAGCAGCTAGCGCTAATGGTGGCTGATGCAAGTGTGATTATCTGCCTTAACTAACACCAAACGCCATTGATCGAAAACTTTACTTGCTCATCTAGTTGGCTCTGATAAAGGAGCACTCAATCATCAGGGTATCAGAGCGTTATTTGTGAGTAATACTAGTGGATGTGTGAAGCTCAGTGGCTTTTTCAGATCCGATTGTGGAGCCGTTCACAGGCTGCCTCCTTCCTTTATGTACACACAATAATCAAATGAATAAATAACCTTCGGTCCAAAGCTCCATTATGTGTTTACTTGCATGCAACTTGCCTCCTAACAGTGCACCAATTAGCGCGCTGGCGCGGACTGCTCTTCTGCTTTATTCCCCGTTGTGTAAATGACCATGAAAGGCTCTTATGTAAGGATGACTTTGTCGTTTTATGATTTATGAACCTCCGACTACTGAAAGCCCACAAGGGAATCTGCAGCATGAAGTACATTGATATATAAAGGCATAGGTAAAGAGATAATAGGCAGATATTAAAGCTGTGTAAGATAAGGAACACTTCATTTGAATGTAAGGCTATTTGCTGCACTTAAGGTCATTACAGAATATGTCATATGTTCTGTCCAACATTACTTAAAAAAGAACATCAGTGTAGTGTCAGTCGGGATCCTGTTAAAACCAACTGCCTTACAAGAATGAAACCCTCAGTGATGTGTGTTTATATTTTTATTCTATTGTTTTTTTCCTGCTATTCTTCTTTTGTAATCTCTATTGAAACTCTGGCACAAGAATTTCCTTCAGGATTAAAAATGTCTATCTTATTTTATCTGACTTCTTATTACACAGCGAGTTTTACAAAGATTTGACACACGGGGTTAGTCAACCGATAGCAGATCAATAAGTCATGGCTGAAGATCAATCAGGTACTGACTGCTAAATTACTTTGGCTAATTATGTGATTGATCTCATCAATAATCCTTGTCAGTACAGTACGCTGGAATGGTTTATAATTAATGACAATATGAAAGGCTTCAAGGCGACTAAGATAAAACGGTTGTGGCCTTTGATAAGATTGTGTGCTCAATCTTAGCTGCATTGATTTTGTGATGCCAGCTGGTATTCATTTAAACACTCTGATCTCCTCTAAATCCCATGTGAGATTGCACTATACCTGTGGTTGGTGGACTTCCTGTTACCAGGTACCTGACCATCCCCATCACAGCCAGAGTCATGATGCTGGTTATGCTGAAGACCATGCCCATCAGGCCGTAGTAGAGGCAAGAGCTGTCCCCTCCAATCCACGCGTGGTTGAAAGCTGAAGCAATGGACAGAGGATACATGCTGAGGGCCATGCCGATGTCCGTTACGGCCAAGTTCACCGTCAGCAGCTCGGGAGCTTTGAGCAGGGCGGCGCGACGAGCTGCACTGACCAGGACTGCCATATTCCCAATGATAGACAGGACAGCTGCAGGAAAGAATAGGATGGAGAAACAAGTGACATCATGAACATTTTAGATCTCATGCTCTCTTCAAAAAAGAGAATCTAAGACATAAAATAGTGCAAATTTAGGTTACGACTATAGGGATCAAATATAACATATCAAATATCAAATAAAATACGATCACACATGTTTTGTCCAGTGACGGTGTGTGCTGGGGACAACAGTGATTCATAGTGATTCTTAAAAAAATAAGCAGACTTGATGTAAAATTCTGATGCTGCCCTCCCCTCTTTTCACACTGAACAATCGTTGCTATTCCCCTTGACCTCCTCAGTCGCTGTAGTGCTTGGAGGCCGACTGTTTGTGAATAAACCTGCCGCCAGTGATCATAAATAATTTTCTGTTTTCCCCTGGTGGGTCCACGCCTCAACCTTCCCATTGTACACCTACCAGACTGTATGTATCAACCCCGACAATAGTTTTCTTTTCATGTATGAAAACAGGCTGTTGTATATGGCGTCCTCGAATCTCGCCAAGCACTTATCGGGATCCCTGCACTTGAATATTCATTCTCATTCTATAACAACACAAATGAAGGAATAGTAACACATTTTGCGAAGAATAAAGCAGCTCTAAATCTCACGAATAAACACACTACATCTTGTCTCTTTAAAGTGTTTAAATGCTGTGGCTTCACATTTACCATACATATATGAGACTGGTATCATTTATTTCTCTACAAAAAAGACAATAAGTGCATAACCCAAAATATACATCTCATAGAGAAAACAGAACACAATAAATATGTGTAAAATAAAACTGCCTTAATTTAGCTAAACAGGCAGAAATGTTCACACATCTACCACATGTTGTGCATGTTTCATTCATATGTGACCATAAGTGCAGCATAGATTTTTTGATAGAAAGAAAGGTGAAGACGGTAGATTGCTGGGTTCCGCAAATTTACCGTGAACCGTATCTACAATTTTTAAAGCAGGTAACCAATAATTGTAAAAAACAATTATTCAATATGACATTTTTTTTTTTTTTACATTGCATGCAATTCTAAAAATAGAATTGACTATTAATTACAAATGGACTGCTAGTATGACCATGCCTTCTCCATTAGTGAGATTGCTTGATGTGTTTGGGGTTCAACCTCCGATACATAATTTCTCTCTCTTAAGTGAGCTTATGGGGATTTGATTGACAAAATGCAATATTGTGCTGACATGTGTTCATTATTTAAACAGTCCTTTTAATCTGTGAAAAAAGCATGTCAGCTTTTTGTCCCCAAAGTAGTCCTAATGGATTTTTCTCTCCCAGAGCAACCTCGACATGAGTGCTCTGCATTCGTACCTTATTCATAAACTTTATGATCATTTTGACTCAAACAAGACGTCGATGCTTTCTATTAGCAGATTTGTGACAATTGTGTACATGAATAAGTGCTTTGAGCTGCAGACCTATATCGTAACTGCCCGAAGTGAAGAGCATTGGAAATGTTGCTTGTGCATGCTGAATACAAAATTCAAGAATGCAGCTCCATGTTTTTATCTCAAGAGTTGATAATCTTTCTCATGTTTGGATATTCAAGCCGTTCACAGATTGTACATTGGAATGTTGTTTTTCTCAAGGAGAATACCAAACAACTGAATGTCTTATCTGTGAGCCACAGCAACAACCCGACTGAGATCTGATCGCTGAAGCACTTATCTACAAGGATACGTCCAAAGAAGTAATGACATTTTCAGTGAATGGACGAGGCGCATGCAGCTTAATATGAACCTATTGTTCATGCTTTACCATCTCTCAAGATATTTTTCTCTCTGGCATTTACCTTAAAAAGTCTGGAAGATTGACTCAACACAATGCTGTGTGAACGGACACTTGCTGATGTGTATGCATCATCATTACTCGTTCATGCTTTTATCTCTCATCCGTCCAATCACTGTGCGAGTGTCCTGGTTCAAATTCACTTTCTGTGGTGCTCATCTCGCAGGAGGGAACCGCCATCTGTGACACGGTGCTGCTAACTGGGGCCGGCTCAGACGGTCTCGTGCAGGGAACTCCAAAACATCTATTAAATAAATAGTTTTATTCTCACATTAACAAGCGGTGAGGTCTCCTCTAGGTGGTTAGTTTGTCCCTCAATGCCTGCGGGGTTTTGTAAAAATATAATGAATGTGGCCCAACATCCTAAATCTCTGTGGTTAACGAGGTCAACCCTTCAGTAAGGCTGACAAACTAAAGCACTGTGCTTATGCAACATGAAACTAAACAGAAAAATCCCAATCGAATCAGTCACTCTTCTTCACTGGGAACATTTCCATATTTACATGTTGTTCATTTTGAGATGTTTAATTTGACAAACAACTAAGATGAAGGAAACATGTAATATATGATGATGAATTCAGTGGAAACCAAATGCACCATGATGGAAAACCTCCAGTGGATTGTTGAGTGTGTGTTGCAGATTGATTCCATGCCTCTTCACTTGAAGGCTTAGTGGACTAACTCTCCAGCGTGTGACTGATTTAGTCTCCGTATGCAAACAATCGATCCCTTACTTGGCTTCAACCCTTCTGCCGGGTGATGTGGCAAGTCGTGCCGACAGGGACTGGCGAGAGGCTCTTGTGGTTGTGTTTCAAGACCAATTCATCAGGAATGAACAGCAATCACAAACAGCAGCTGTTGTTGCATATGTGCCTCTGGCTTGGGATCAACTCATTTACTGTACTGTGGCAACGCGGTCGCACGGCAGTTTGGGAAACAGTCACAAAAATGCAATCTACTGGTTTTCGTGTACAGGGATGCAAAATGTCTGTTTATTCTTTATTTTTTTCGTGTCCCTTACATTAAAAAAGAAAATTAGGTTATGGTAACAAAACCACTCAGTTAAGGTTGAGGGAAAACATCATTGTTGGCCTTAAAATAACTACGTACAGTGTTAGGTTTAGGCAACAAAACCACGAAATTAGGTTCAAGAAAACTGTCAAGAACAGTTTAGAAACCCACCATAAAAACATTAAGTGGTGTCGAACATCGGCCGTCTGGTTGAAAGCCCTGTTCTACTTGTTTCACACCAGAAGGATTATAAGGTAGCGAACAGAATGATGGAATAATAAAAAAGCTTGAATTTAGAACTGGTCCCTTTCTGGTGGCGCTGAAATGGGGATTTTCGCTGGTAGTCTGTGTTGAACACATGCTGACTGTGAATTAAATATGCACACCGTTGCCTCAGTATCAGCAAAAATGTTCGACAGCCTGCCATCAACAATATCGTCCCGTGCTTATTCACAAGTGGCCGAAACCAATTCGAAGGATCAGACATGATTTTGCAGGATTTAAAGACTAAAACTGTAAGGCACTTCAAAGCAAATCCCTTTTATTGGATTTTGACTCAGTGTGCTTCCTGAGTCAACCCTTAAAGTTGCATTAATTGATTTTTTTTGGGAGGCACAATGGGGGTAAAAAAGATCACAAAAGGCGGTCAGATGGCTTAAGTGTTTGGTGAAAAAGGGCATCCAGCAGATTAGGGAGCTACATTAGCACTCATGTGGAGTCTTCTCTCTGACCACTCAATGAATGTAACTCTAAATGACTCTCTAAGAAAAGCCACATTTTTTTTATGTTTTATTACAACATGTCTCCAGTAGGGGGAGCACACAGCCTTTGAGCTATATTTGGGAACGCAGCTTCCTTCAATTAGTGCAAACATCTGTTTGAAATACTTGTTCAGGTAGTCCCTGTCATTAAGGTCTTGTTTATTAGTGAGTTGGGTCAATGCTTCCACTTACTAAGGGCACCATTTAACTTCCAGCATGTTTCTGTATCATGAAGTAGTTTAATAAGGTAGTGTAATTGGCTAGCTTTTCCCGAATGATAGCCACACTTCCTGTTAACCTAAACGTTAGCTTCTTACCTTTCTAATTGAATATTGTTTTAATTATTACCAGAGTCGGCTAAAGGACGCTAACGCTGGTTAACTGTTGCTGAGGTGTAGCGTTCGGTTTTTGTATGTTGACTGAGAGTAACGCTACCACGGTGCACTGAGATAATACTGCATATTTAGACAGAAGACAGTTCATGTTTTGTGAGCATTGCAGTCATTTTTATTCAGTTTTTGTCATTTGACAGTATAGTGGGTTTAGAAAAATACCTGTATATTTATTGTGATATTTAGAACTGCCTGTGTATCAGTGTTTGAGTTTGAACCAAAAAATAAACGGCATAGCTTCAATCTTCAAGCCACAGCTCTTAATCCTACATGAGAGGACTTAGTATGACTAGGCTGCATGAAATGAAATGTTGACCACCTGCAGTGATTGTAATGTTTGTATTCTGCAGTGTGGTGTGCACTGCTGGTGGCAAGTGAAGCTAGCGACAGGGCAGGTCACAGCAGCTCAATTGAAGATCGTTCATCATTTGATGGAATTTCACATGATTTTCCCCCTTTGACAGATATTTGCATGTTGTAACTTTAGCAGGAGGTAGTAATAAGTAGTACAGATCCCAGGTTAGGGACATATTTTAGTTGCCAGCACTCAGCCCTGTTGGTTGAGTCCTGGTCCAATTCAAGCCCTGATATTATTCATCTACGGTTGTTTTCATATTCCAGTCATTTGCTGCAAGAAGAGCCATAGAGCTGTGATTTTGGCACAGTGAGCTTTACACAGTATGACATGAGTTTCAATGTTAACATGGTGAATATTGGTTTCTGCAGGTTTTAGATTATTTGGTGAAGTTATCTCAACTTCAAGGATATTTTTAGATAAATGCAGCTGCTGAACGTGAATATCTTCAGTGATAGATGATCCTTATCTTACTCCAGATCTCCCCAAAAATGGCCTGTGGACTGATGCTCCAGCTGGGAGCTGGATGACCTATTTTGGTCTTCACAACAACACCAAGGGACATGGCAACACGGCTTACCAGTTGCAGGCGTGTGAAGTCATCGTTCATTGAATGCAAAGCTAGCAGGAGAGGAAGCGAAGTGGCCGAACTTCCCTTGCAGGTATACATTTGCACACACGCACACAGAGACACACACTTCTGTGTTCGGGCACAGAGAGCTAGCGGATAGTATCTAACCTGTCAGTATCAGTCAATTTGTAGAAGAACAGTAACACAGTTTTCACTGAGTACAATTACATGCACATTAGAACCCTGGCGTTGATTATATTCGGGATATGGCATTGACATGGAGCATGAGAAACCTGGTCATAACAGTATTCTGGATTTGGATTATTTGTGTTGTTTCTGTGTGGGTTGCTTCCTCAGCAATCAGTGATCAGAAACGTGGATAAGGTGTCCACACGCCACGGTGTCCTGGTTTCTATCGGAGGACTTCAGCTAGCATATTCAGGTTTCTCAAAACCAGGATCAGGGCTCATCCAGGTTTCTGAAGTCAGGTGTTTACAGGCACAAAACATAACCGGGATGCTTCAAAGGATATTTGTGCACATGTACCCACATCAGTGTTTACTCTATGTTCATTCTGCTGAAGTAAATCAAACTAATGATATTGCGTACACAAAATGGGGAGCTCATAAGACTGAGGGGAAGGGACTTTGACAATGACATCATGCATCTCGATGTGTCTCTTGACCTGCAGCGAAGAGGGCAAGCAAACCTAGAATTTAAACAGCTAATTTCTCATTAGTCATTTCTGGGTTTAAGCTCCCTGCCCGCAGCCACATGAAAGAGTATCACTTTTTCAGAATCCTAAAATAGATCTACGCAAGCTGAAAGTATTAATCTTACAGACAAGTTGACATATTGAAATAGAATAAGTAAGCAACGTACTTACCAATTGTCACCAGATACATCCCTGCCCAAAAATCAACCGCAGGTGACAGTTTGGACTTGTATTTATCATCCATGTCTGTCCAGTCAGTGGTCAAAGCAGACGCACAAATTACTCCCAGCAGGAAAAACACCGACAACAGGTGCTCGAGTCTAGCCCCGATTGTACTTGAACTGAATTTTTGAAAAACTGAGCATATCATTCCCTGTCTTTCCTGTCAGCACTCATATTTTGTCAGTGTGATGCAGCATCTGACACCTAAACAAGTATTAACATGGTCAATTTAGCATACGGTGTAGATTGACAGACCCCCTCCACACAGCTACATACACAAGGCCAATGACACGCACGCACACAGTGCTGATGCAGGTTTTGATTATTAACATTTGCGTCAAGCCAGATTATGCTCAACCCTCAAAAAACCACTCCACTTAGACGAACACACATTTACACACACACGCACACACACACACACACACACACACACGGACAGCTAGGCTGCATCTATAAAAGCCAAAGCTAATTACGCAATATGATGTTGTCTCTGGCTGGGTGTGGAAAAAGTGATTCATCAAAAGACACTGCACATCCTTTTATCCCTTACATTGATTAATGAATCGAAAATTACATCAGGCTATAGTCATGACATATTTTGAAACCTTAATTATAAAAAATAAATGAAGGACAGAAGCTTTATTGTCTATTATGCCTTTGATTGAATTGAAGATAAGATCAAATGGGATTAATATCTTACTCAGGGGGATTTATGGCGCAAGCCATTGTCTGTCCACGAATATAGTGTGTGTATTGTCATGTGTGTGGGGGAATGGATTACAATGAGATTTATATAGATGTTTTTTATCCTCCAAGCACTCGGCTGTAAATGCATCATATTGAATTTACAACTTCTGAATTTAGAAGCAGGAGCATCAAAGTTAGAAAGCTGCATACAAACAGCATATTGTTACTTCGCTGTGTGTTTTGAGGAAGTTTGAAAGTCTTGTCTTGACTCCAGGGATAACTGAACTCTTGACCCTGGTTAATGTAGCCTGCAGCGTCTTTATCTTGCACCTTCTCCACATTTATCCGCGACATCTTTACACCTCTTTGTGTGTGAAAAGGGCAGTGAAAACAGAGTGTCTCTGTGAGGTATTAGAAAAATGCTGTTCATGGTTAAGTGTCAACTGCTCTGTACACGTACGGTCTTCATATTGTTCCATATCGTCATGTGCTGCAGTTCTACTTGAAGGTCGCTTACTGGTCTATAGACCAAAATGACAAGCATACAAGTAAAGCTTACAGCTGTATTGTCTGTGGTCAAGAGCATTTTTGATCGGTGCAGTGGTAGTTCACACGTTTAATAGCTTGCTTGGATCAAACAATTTTTGTAGTTCTCTCTTATTTTGTGATACTAAAATTTGAAATGCCTTAGAAGTAAAGTGAATCTAGCAACTCACCTGTGGTAAGAGGTACATGAATAATTAAACACATCAGTTTTTCCCGGAGCTGATGATGGATGTAGAGCCATCTCGCGACTAATAAATAATCCAATTTGTATAGGGGCAAATAGATTTCTGACCCACTGGCCTGACCGGGCAAGTGAAATAAAAAGATAAACATTGAACCCTGTCTCCCCAGTTTGAGGGCAGAGAGCAGCCTCTCGTCATCAGCATCTGTCAGCCTGAGCTGTGGGAATAGGTCCTTGGGCTCTGGCGAGACTAGCCACATCACGGTCTCTGAAGAAAGAAAAAAAATCATTCCGTGTGTCAGATACAAATGACAGCCCCTCAAGTCAAAGCTTTAGGTCTGGGAGCACGACCCGTTCTTGGGACATGTCTCCCTCCATGAGCAGGTCTTGACAGGACTTGACAATGGACTTGACAATGGGCTGCGTTTATGCACACCTGTAGCTGACGTGAGAGCTGTTCTCCATTATTTGGCTCGATGTTAGGGAAGCGGCTCACCAGATCCCCTGAAAGCATGTCCAGGAATGGAACCATGTCCTACAATTAAGGAAAAAAGGAATGAAAAAATAAGCTGAAGGTTTTTATACGCCGTATCAATATTTCTCTGCTGTCCTGTTGCCTCAGTTTGAGCCTTCTAAGCTCTGATGAATGACTAAGGCATCAAGCCTGCAGTTTTCACCAGGCTTTTGAACAGTAAAAATAGCACCTGAGGGACAGTGAGTGCTCCATCCTCTCAGGTGGGTTTAAAAGCCAGCCACCACTTTTGAGCACTCAAAGCCAAAGCCTCTAATGTAGTGTTTAAACCTTGTCACACTTTGTACTTTAGTTGGAGGACTTCTGTCCATCCTGTAGAACTGACAATCAAGGCAGTTACAAGCAGTTTTGATTAACCATGGATATGCTTCTACTAAGGTTTGTCTTCTGGCCTTACTAACAACACCAGTGCTCTCGACGCTAGAGTGGATTTATTCCGCTTTTACCGCAATCTCCATCTCAAAACATGGTACTTCAAAAAATGCTGGCCACACACATAATTTTCCTCATGTGGTTATCCCTAAAAATACTGATTCCCCCACGGTATCCAACCCAGCGCTCATTACGTTAACTAAGTAAGTGGACTTTGAGGTTATCATATTTTTAAATGCTTACACTTTCACTCCCAAATCCTAATTATCTAACAAAGAGCGCTTAGCCTTGATTAAACTCTATAATCAGGATGATCATTCGTCTGGGGGATAAGGATGGAGCTTTAGTTGTGTTATCCAAGTATATTAAAGAGTCTCGTTGCCAACTCTAAACCAAATATAATCAAAGACTTGACAGCAATCCCATGTTGGACATGTAAGTTTGATGCTCTGCGTAAAGAGGCACTCGATGTGTTAAACATCCTGTTATTGCTGTTATATCATGTAATGGTATTCTTACAGAACCGGTATCTAAATATATTTATTCCTTAATTAAACCGTTGGTAAGAAAACTTCCATCCTTTATTGAGGACACCACTGATGTGTTTTATAGGATTGCCACTCTGACTGCTGTCCGGTGTCTTTTTCTTGTCACTGTGGCCATCGAGAGCTTATATACAAATATTGACCACCAGGAGGGGCTACTTGCCTTAAGCCACTACCTTTCAGACAGAGAACACTCCACACTCTCATCTGATTTCTGTTGAAATTGACAGACTGGGTCATTCACAATGATGTGTTTTTCTTTATGGATGAAATATATATATAGACAAAAGATTGGGCTCCGTATGGGCTCCTGTTTTTCTGCTTATTATGCTGGACATTTTTGGGGCTTGTGGAAAAAAGAATATGTTCTGACTCCTGTTAACCCTTTTCATAATTGTATTACTTGCCATGGCCACTATATTGATGACGTGTTGTTAATTTCCGGAACTTTTAGATTTTCTTAATATCTGAACTCTATTAATCTCAATACTATAGGCTCTCTACCTACTCTGAGCACAGCATACATGTCTTGGATTTAGCTATTTTTATTACATAACCTCAAAATATTTTCATCCCCGGCACCTTACAGAGAACAGCCCATTTGGCAGGCTCATGCATTCGTATCTTCCAGCAGATAAAAAAAGGTACTTGGTTTACTGTTTGGCACCTTTTTAATTGTATGCATCACCTTCACAGCGCTAATGTTGTGCCAACGAAATGTTTTACTGATGTCAACACAGACAGAAAGTGTTTTTGTTAACGGCAATGGAACAATAGTCATACACCACCTGTCTTGTCCACGTTAGGAGGGCTTTTTCTACATTGGCCGTACTAAAAGATGCTGGAGGGATCGCCTTGCCGAGCACAAATATTCCTCAATGAGGATATAAACTACAGGTTTTCTGTGATGTTTGTGTAGGCCTCTCGTGTTTTTCTTGCAGCCTGTATTGAAGCTCAATGGGTGCTTTTCTACAATTTATGCAGCGTGAAATGGCCGCGTGTCTGAACCTTATATAACCTAACACCCAATCAACTTTAGCTTCATACGTTTACTTCCGTAATAAAATATGTACGTTAATGTGTATATCAAATCTTTCACTCCTTGCACACACAGACGTTATTTTCTGCATTTTCACCCTCATTGACCTGATAACTGATGTTCTTGTAATATCACCCGGGGTGGCTAATCCATTCTTTGATAGCTTACACTTCAATATCACCACATGCCTTATCTACTACTTACTGAAAGAGAAATGCTTGCATGTAGGGGTTAGCATTAACCTTCTATGGCCAAGCCAATAACAATTCCTTCCCTACTTGTGGCCTATTTATAGCGCTTGACCTTTATTTCTCAGCTTCTATGTAAGTGATTGCATTGGAGGACTGGGTGTGACCAAAGAAGGGCAGAACTTTAGAAATAAAAGATTTCATTGTTTAAGTATTTTTGCAGTTAAAGAAAGGACTATTTTTTCAAAACTGTCTTGAACAACTGGTATTATGTACATGAAAAGAGTATCATTGTAAACATGACCCCAACTTTGTGATTTTATTTCCTGTTTTTCCTCATCTGTGGAATTATTGGACATTCTAGTGAAACCTTTATCTGTGCAGTAACACGCTGGTGCACTTCTGCATCCCCGCCGGCTTGGACTTTGCACACCGCTACCACGGATATTTCATTCCACTGTGCGTTCACTGTGAAGCAAACTGGATAAACTTCAGCCACTGGTGGAGAAAAACAAAGTTTTTTTTCCCTCATCTTCCATTTTATGCTTCATGGAGACATGGCTGTATGGATCAATACAGGACTCAGCTGCAGCTGGAGGGCTTCTAGCTGTTCAAAGCGGATCGCGAGCGCCACGGCCAACCCAAAGGTGGAGGGATCTGTGTTCAACAACAGTGTCTGGTGTACTGTACTGTTATAGTGGTGTAAAAGTGATTCTGCAGCACTTTTCTCCTGATCTGGAAACTTTTATCGTTAAGTGCAAACCTTTCTACTCCCTCCATGAGTTTGCCTCAATCACACGGGTCATTTTTTATGTTCCACCGCAGGCCAATGTGCATGCTTGCTTCACCAGATGCTGTTCATCTGGACAACCCAGAGAGGGATGATAACAGCGTCCTTTCCCCTCTGCTCTTCTCCCTGTACACCAACAGCT